ATGTTAAAATCTCAGACAATTAGCGCTTTGTCAACAGTGATAATCACGACCAGTCTGACGGGGCTCATGCTTATAACAGTAGCTTGGTGGAGTAGACTCATAGACTCAAACAAGAAAATGTCTTTGTTTTCATTTTCTCTTAGTCCTTTGCTCTGGCTGATCACAATGGAATACTGAAAGACTGCACTATCAATGGAATTTGGATCATGTGTGGCTCTTGAGTTCAGGGAACCTTCACTTTCTCTTTCGTTCTCTAGACAAGTGAAAGGTTGTTTATGCATGGTGTCATATGATGTCTTTGCATCTTCCAGCAGAACAGAACAGTGACAGTTCTATCTGGCTGCCATCTGATCGACACTCTGTCTTCAAGTCACATGAAGAGCACACTAATATCCCACTCGTTCATTCACTTGTGTGTACAGTATGTGTGTAAGATGGGGGGAGGGGGGATTGTTTATTTAACAGGTTCACCACACCATATTAAATGAGTTGTGAGTTGTAAATGAGTTAGCACTTTTCCATTGTGGATGAAAAATTAGATGAGGAAATCAAATGGTATTATGACAGTTGTTTCAAAAAGAGAACCCTCATTTTAAGAAGGGCTCAGAGAAGCAAGGATTTTTCAAGCATAAAGAAAACCTTATCTCAGCATTAGTTGAGCATCATTGTGGAGGGGAGAGATTAGAATCACTCAGCTCAGAAGCATACTGACTTCATACTGCCATATTGATCTACCTACCTACCTATTTATTTATTTATTTTTATTCTCATGTTTTTATTTATAAGGTTTTATTATTCTTTTTTTTTTTCTTTCGCCAAAACAGGTCAAGAAACGGAAACACAATACAAAAAATGTTTGTACTAATGTCTGTTTTGACGCCTAATTGTACTAGTTATCAAGTAGATGTTTAATAAGACTATATAAATTTGAATTAAATTATATATATATTATTTATTTTTAATTTTTTTGACATTGCACACCTAAAAACAGAGAATTTCAGAAAGAAATAACAAAATCTATTTAATTAAAATTAAATCTTACATTTGAAAAAATTATAAAAAAAAACAGTAAATAAAATATAGTACAATAAAAATCATTACATTTACATTTATGCATTTGACAATGCTTTTTTTTCTAAAGCGACTTGCATTCCCAGGGAATCATATCCTTGATGTTGCTAGTACCATCCTCTACAGGAACAAAAATCATCATGTCACCTCATGAATAATTAATTAAGGTTCACTTTGCCATTCACTTGTCAGATAACAACCCCCCACCCCCTTCTCGTCTGTTTACCAGCTTTCCCTCAGCGGAGGCAAAGTTTATTATCAATGTCAAGTCATTTGCGAACAGACATTACATCCACTTTCCACCACTTCTTAGTTTCTTAAAAACCATATAAAGGTACCTTGAGGAAAAAAAGACAGCTTTTATGACATCTGCAAAAATGTTATAGACCCAACACTAAAACAGACATGGGTCACTAAGAAAAAGTCAATGCCCTCTGTACTGCCGCAGTGCCACAGCCCCAGGACTCCCGGCATGCTCTCTTCTCTTTTACTCTAATGAGTTGCAACACAGATAATGTGGCTGATGATCTTTCATTGATTTGGCTATCACTTGCTTGTCTGGTAATTGATCCGTAGCTGAGCCTCTAGTTAATTATATCAGCTTCGACATGGCCCTAGTCTGGGGGGAATTTGAAGTCTTGCAGAATAATAGTTTTAATAAAGGAGTCCATTACTGTGGCTCTCTGCTTTCCTTGACTGCTGCTGCCACTGACAGGATCTGAGCTTACCCTCACCCCCAAGAGAGAGAACGAGGACTGGACAAACTGAAAGAAAAGAATGGAGATGGCAAACAAAAAAGGAAAGGGATATTGGCAGAGTCCTCTCAAACGTCTCACAAATAACAACTATTAATGGGGAGGTCAGAAGCTGAGCTGCTGGCTTGACTTGAAACACTCGGTAGCACTTGAAAAATCAAGAGGCCAGTACGTTCAAGAGAGAACTGAAGAGGGGGAGAGAAATTGAGATGGAGATGTGACCATAGAGACTAAATAAAGAAACAGTTTCATTGGCATTAAGAGTTACTGATGATATAACTGGTAGAATCTACGATTTTTTTTACATTTTTTATCATACTTTTTTTTTTTAAGTCACGTTTACTACTCATTATTGCTTGTGTTATTTTTAGAAACAAAAATTCATGGCATTTTAGAACTGAATAAGAAATAGTCTTTGAGGACAGATGAAATTGAGGGGACAAATGTGTGACAATGGGCTCTTAAGCATCTCCCACATTAGTGTCCATTTGCTTGTAAAGACGTGCGGTCTTTGCTTCTTTGGTTACTGTGGAGAGTACTCTACACATGAAAGAGAGAGAGAGAGAGCGAAGAGGTGAGAAAATGAAACAAAACGGCATATTAAGTTCTCATTGCGGCGGCCACCATTTCTTGTGCCTTTTTTCATTCAATCTAAAAAAAAGAAGAAGAAGACTCTAGATTTGATCAGACAAAATGCTGAGCAGATTACTCAGGTAAAGGTTAGCCAGAGCTGTCATTAGTGCTGTACAGAGGCTTTTAACAGACAGTAACAGCTGTCTCTTTCAAATTGCCACAAAATTTCAAGTGGCTTTCTACATACGAGAAGCCATTTAATGTAGCGAAAAGGAGAAAAGTTAATTCCATTTCTTTCTATCTCATAGAAGGGAGATCACGGTGACATCTTCCTCAGACACACTCGCATTGTCAAAGACTATAATTTTAACAGCTGACGTGAGGGGAAGTGCTGGAGGAAAAATGTACGAGTGGAAAAACACGCAATAATAACAAAAAATAGCTTCATTACACAACACATTTCTCATGTAAAATGTTTTGGCATGTACAATGAGGGAGAGATGCTGCCACTTATTGTAAGTGCATATGTTAGGGCTTTCTTTCTCTTCCCCACCTTTGTGAGACTGTCTGCTGCAGGGACCAATTTGGCAAAAATGGTGCCTCTTCCTCATTTTTTTCTTAATTAAAATCTGAAAGCATCCACTCGAGGTTTCCCCGCGTGTGTGTGTTTGTGAGTGGGAGAGTGTATGTATGATTATGTGCTCTGCCACACTACTCCACAAGACAGTGTGTGTATGCGTACACAAGGGAAGCTGGGGGGGGGGGGG